TGGATTCCTACACTCATGGGGCATTGGGAAACATCCTCCATAAATAACGCATCGTGCAATATAATGTATTAATGCATGTATTAGAACACATATTCATGGATCCCCCACCGTATGGACCTTGTTGTAGACAATATTTACATAACAAATAGGTAGACATGCAATGTAACTCGTATATAAACACTCCCTCTACTCCAAGGGAAGGTATCCGAATCACTATTACAACTAATACTATAATCAAGGGTATATTCAATCTCGGCTTGCACTCTTACGTTTTAAAAAACTCGACTTGTTTGTTACTCTCCACCTAATTTACCTTAGGACCTGGTTCATAAACCCATCATCGGATTGGCAAGGAACCGTCATCCTTGTTTTCCAAACATAGCAATATAAAAAGCTCGAATGTTTCAGAACCTCATTCATCCGAACTTCTTTAGAATTAACATGCGTTCTCATGATAGCCAATGAATATCCCAGTTATTAACACCCTTCTCCCCCCCCCCACACTAGAAAGCATTCATCAATTTCTCTATGTTAGAACAGGTATATCAAGGGAGGATAAAAATACTCATGGCAAACTGGGGCATCGCCTGATCTACTGTTTTAAGTAATACCTCCTTGCCCGCATTGGGAAAATTCTTACACTTTTATAAAGATAAACCCAAGATATGGGGCATAGTATTCGGGCTAAAAGATATACTGAATTTATGGAAATTAATTATTGCATGTCCTAATAAATTAAACGCTCATACTCATAGAGGATCTGCAATATCTCACTAGCCTCTTCAAACGCGGCCTTCAAGGACAAGAGGCTATCATCCGTGAATAAAAGATGAGTGATAGAGGGAGCACTATGCGCCACTTGAACCCAATTAATCAGTCTCCTCCGCTCAACATTCTGCAACAAAAAAGAAAGCCCCTTCGTATATAGGATAAAAAGGTACAGACTGAGCGGGTCACCCTGCCAGAGACCGACCTCTCGAAGGAACAATAACATCTATAGGATCCCCATTAACTTGGATTCTATAAGGAACCATAGTGATACATAATGACAAGGTCAAATTAGTGATAACCAAACTCCAATCTGATCACCATAAATTCCAAAAAAACTCATTCTATTTTACTGTAAGCTTAGGCCATGTCCAACTCAAGACCCACACAACACGTCGCACCATTCTGATTACGTCAAAGGTGATGCCCCATATCATCCGCCAAAAGGATGTTATCTGAAATCAACCTTCAAGGGAAAAAAATTGATTGTGACCCGAAAATAATATTAGTCAGAACTGACTTCAACCGATTAACAAACACTTTTGCTAGAATCTCGTAGACAACATACAAAGAGCAATTAGGTGTAAGGACATTTGCAACGGAGGCCTCAATTCCCGCTGCGTCGGTAGAAGAGGAAGGGCGACCGACAATCTTGTAGTGGAGGAAGGCCGACCGGCAATCTTGTAGTAGGTAGTATACATCCTAAATCAACACTGCAAATAGGGGTGGACACGGTATGGTTCCGGTACGGTTCTGGTTCCAGAACCGCCGGTTCCGGTACCGCCACCCCATGTCACCGGAACCGTCACCGTGCCGGCCGGTACCGGTTCCGGTTCTCGGACCGGCGGTTCCGGTACCGGACCGGCCGGTTTCGGCCCCCTATATTTTTTTTTGCTTTTTTTAAAATTTTTAAAATATAAAATTGTAAATTTGCAATTGTTTAAGGAAAGAATGAAATAAAAAAATCTAAAAATGTAGTTGTTATTTAAATATTTTAAATGAATAATACACTAACTGAAGAATAACCACATTTAATATCATGACGGTTCAAAAAAAGCGACGAGGTAAAGAACCGTAAAGAAACCCTCGAAGGAGATTATATATTGCTCACCTAAAAAAAACTAATTACATATTTACATTAACATAAAAAAAATTATAACTTATTCTTCAGAACTCGGACTTCCATCTGTTGTTGCATTCATGTAATGCTCCGATTCGAGTTGGTACGAAGCCTATTGAGCTCGACGTCTTGCCAAGAGCCAATCTTGGTTGCAAACCAGTGTTTCAAGAGATTCAGCGCTAAGACAACTTCGATAGTTGGTTAGAATGTTGCCGCCAGCACTGAATTCTCGTTCAACTGCTACGGTTGATACCGGAACGGATAACACTTGTCTTGCTAGCATGCCGAGACATGGGAACATGTGTTCGTTCCGCTTCCACCACCCGAGCACGTCAAAATCCACGTCGTCGTCATCATAATCGCATGGCACACCCTGGTACATAGCAAGTTCGTTGTGCGAGCTTACTGTTGTACCACTTGAACTCGTCGAAGAATGAGCACGCTTCCCTTTCTTTGCAAGAAGACCACCGACTATTCCGGCAAAACCTTTTTTTGATTTCGGGGGCGGAGGTGGTGCTGTTTCTTCTTGTACAGTGCCGTATAACCCTTGATATTCCTCAAACAAATTCTCAAAAAAAGTTACAGCATTATCTCTTTCTTTTTTCCATTCTATTAAA